ATCTATTGCTATAAATTGTCCTCTGAGGACTGCCTTTGCTGTGTCCCAAAGGTTTTGGTATGATGTGTTTTCATTCTCGTTTGATTCTAGGAATTGCATCCTACATTCTTAAGTTTGCTTGTATTATGCCTTAGGATTAATGGCCTCATGGTGATATTTGGTGCCTCGTCTTAAATTAGATTGAAAGCACCTTGATGGAGTTCATTCTGTCTTTTAGTTCATGCATACTAAAAGTGAACACACACATACACCATCTAGCCTATTGCTGGACACTAAACACTGAATTTAATGAATAAGCTAAACCTTCAAAACCCATTTGCCCTGTAGCAAAAACATACGTGAAAGCACTGTTGTATCAGAAGGGGGCGCATCTTTTTTCTCGGTACCAAATTGGAGCCTGCAGGGCTCACCTCCTGTTACAGACTGTACAGCATTTCACTGTTTCACGGATTTTCCTTTTTGTTTCTTCTTTTTTATTTTACTAGTTGTTCTTTAGCACCTGTATGTCAATCTTTTTCCTTTAAAAAAGGAAGTATACAGTTGTACTTCTCGTACCTGGTGATCAAGGCCAATAATTCGGTTACTTACTAAAGGAACAGCTTTATCATATCTACAACATTAGTTAATGTGAATGTTTCAGTACTCAAGGCAGAATAATTCTCCTAGAAAAAACATTCTCCCCCACAACATTTAAAAATTAATGTCTTCCTCACAGAACCTAGTTCTGTAACCTAAATTTTTATTTTATAGGAGTGGTACCAAAATTTTCAAAGTTGTTATTCAGAAATTCAGGGTCATCTCAACTTATATTTTTTCACGTATGTGTCTCCCATTGATTAACAACTTCTTAGCTATCTCATCATTATCTTTGTATTCCTAGCACAGGGTCCTATGCAGAGTAGGCACACAGTGACTGCTGGTGATAATATTGGTGAAAGTCTGTGCCTGGCTGTGTGATCCTAGGCAATCTACTTACCTCCTCTGACTGTAATATCCACATCCTTAAAATGAAGATATCTAGACCCCTTGAATCATGCTACCCTGGCTTTTTTTTTTTTTTCTCACCTAAACCTTAAATATACTTTTAACTGCCAGCAAGTGAATGACATTTTTTCCTCAACTTCCTGAAGTACCAGATTAGATGAAACTGAGAAAACCCTGATATTCTTGTAAAGTATCCTGATGTTCTTATAAAGTTACACATGTACCTCATAGAAAAAGACAGATGAACAGAAATCATCCAAAGGGGATGGTTCGATAAATTTTAGCATATCTATACGACGGAATACTCTCATTTAAAAAATTGAAGCTGCCAAAAGGAATAATTTCCAAGATATAGCATTAAGTGGAAAGCAAGATGCAGAATAATGTGTAGGATATATTACTGTGGTGGTGATGGGAGAATACATATGTATATGTTTGTGTACGCACAGTGTATCTCTGGAAGGATACACAAAAGGCAGGTACGTGTAGTTGCCTCCAGGTGGGGAACTAAATGGCTGTGAGAAGGGGAAGGAGGAAACCTTACTTTTCTCTGGATATCCTTTTGTGCCTTGAATTTTATGCCATGTGCTTATATTATTAAAAAATTAAATTTTACCAAGTCATCCAGAAATATTTACTATAACTTATTTGTACATATCCTTCAAGTCTTCTTCTGTGTGTGCATAAGGGAGTGTGTGTGTGTATACCTTATCTTTTAAATTTTTTCAGATAATACTTTACATACTTACACTGTAACCTAGTTTTCACTCTATCATTAATTTTCTTCAGTAGCTTTATTTTTTTTAAATTGTTTTTATTTTTATTATTTTTATTGTAGTTTAAATGAAGTTTACATTTCAAGTTAGTCTCCCATATACAAATTTATACATATATTGTTGTGTGACCCTAATTGCTGTCCCCATACTGTGACAGCACACTCCTGCTTTCCACCCCCAATTCCCTATGTCCATTCAACCAGCTCCTAACCCTCTCTGCCTTCCTATCCCACCTCCAGATAGAAGTCACCCATTTAGTCTCCTGTATCTACTTGAGCTAAGAAGCACGCTCCTCACAAGTATCACTTTATGTCCCACAGCCCAATCTCTGTCTGAAGAGTTAGCCTCGGAAATTGTTTTAGTTCTGGGCTGATAGAGAATCCAGGGGCCATGCCTTCTAGGGTTCCTCCAGTCTTTGTCAGACCATTAAGTCTGGTCTTCTTACTAGAATTTGAGTTCTGCACCCCACCTTTCTCCTGCTCCATCCAGGACTGTCTGTTGTGTTCCCTGTCAGGGCAGTCATCTAGTTCTTCTGGTCTCAGGCTGATGAAGTCTCTGGTTTATGTGGCCATTTCTGTCTCTTTGGCTAATTCTTTCCTTGTGTCTTTGGTGTTCTTCATTCTCCTTTACTCCAGGTGGTTGGGACCAATTGATGCATTTTAGATGGCTGCTTGCAAGCTTTTAAGACCCCAGATGCAGTGGCTTTATTTTTAATTACCACATAGCATTCTGTTCTTTGGATATATCATGATACATTTGACCTATTGCTGAATGTTGGGAGTTTCAGGGTAGGAGGCCCAGTTTACTATTATACAGCACTGTGGTAGGCGTTCTGATAGCTAAATATTTGTCCACATCTTTGATAATTTCTGTAGTATAAATTCCTAAGACTAGAATTTTTGGTCTTTGATACACATTGTTGAATTGTTCTTTAGAAAGATTGAACCAGTGGTGGTATTTGACAGCTCCCATTTCCCTGTACCTTTGCCAACACTGGGTCATATCCTGTACTAAAATCTTCTAAATCTTGGCATTGCTATGAGGACTGTAGATAGAGAGGGATTGTCTTCTACTGCCCATTCTCCGTGCAGAATAAATCCCTCTAGACCTGAAGCCTGTTGGAGTAGGGAGGAGACCTTTGAGATGACTGCCGTTCTGTACCTGAGTTGTCACCAGTATTCTCTGCTTCTGCAGGATTACTATGGTGACTGTTGTTGTTAGGTGCCGTCAAGTCCGTTCCGACTCATAGCGATCCTATGCACAACAGAATGAAACACTAGGTTGATGAAAGGACTAGGAGGCCTTTTCTCTGTTTGCAATTCCTGTGATCCTTTCTGGATGTGGATTTGGGGCTCTGTCAATATGCCTTTCACCCAGTTTTGCCCCTCATAGTTTAAAGTTTTAGGTTCCAGTTTCTAATTCCATCTGCCTTAGCCAGACTGCATTGTATTTGACATTAAATAAACTACCTCCTTGGTTTTTGTATCCCTGATCTTTTCCCAGAGATATGACTATTTGTTCAAGATTCTTTTTGCAAAGCATTTTTTAATCAAACATCTACCCAAAACAGAGCTAAAGTCAGATTTCAGGCTAACCAAATCTGGAGTAGCAGACAGGTAAAATGATTAAGATGAGATCTTTCCTAGAGATTTCTCTGTTTATTACAGAACTGAGGAAAAGTATGTAGGAGATAGAGAATTCTTAATTTGATATCATTAGTATCTATTTTTAACCAAAGACTAGTAAGCTTTAACTATACTCATTCATTAATTCTTTTCTGCATTAAGTATTTACTGAATACTTACTATCTGCTAGGCATTGGGGACACAAATGTGATTAAGAGAAGATTCCTTCCATCAGTGAGGTCTTGTATCCCACTTCCATATACTAACATGTCAGTAGTATAAACGTGTGAAAAATGGCGCAGAGGTGTCCGACCTCTTCGTCTCACTTCACAAGGGGAAAGAGAGAGAATTACCATCATCATCAGCCCAAAGCTGATTCCTATGAGGTGGAAGTCTGACATACCTCCTCTCTCTAACCTTTTTTACCAATTCTAACACCAGCTGTCCCTCCCACGGCACTCTCTAGTTCTTTGCTGGATTCGATAATTTGTTGCAGTGGCCACACAGAACTCAAGAGACTGTGCTCACAGTTATGGAGTTTATTAAGGAACAGGTTACAATTCAGGATCAGGAACAACTCTGAAAACAGTTCTTCAATCAGGACAACTTCTCAGTCATGCCTGCAGGCAGACCTCTCTTTGGCTCTTTGCCTCTCGGCCTGGCCTTTGCCCTGCTCGGGCAAGTGTTACAAAGCTTTCTAGCTCCTCCAATAGGTGCCTGGAGATACCCCACTCTGCCAGTAAGCCTCAGCCTGAAGGCACTCAGCTCTCTCACTCCATGGGTCGCTGCACCCACTGTAGCCATCTTACTCTATGGGCTGGGAAGCCCAGTGTGCCGTCTTGTGAAGAACACCTGGTTCTGCTGCTGCCATTCTCTGCCACGCTTGCCGTCACTGTTCACTGTCTCGCGCCTTCTCCGGTGTTATAGCTCTCTCTGTCTCCTAGGTCTAGGAGGTTCTCAGTGCAGGGACCCTGGGTCCAAAGGACACACTCCACTCCTGGCTCTTCTTTCTTGAAGATAGTGAGGTACCCCCTCTGCTCTGGGATTGGCTCTCTTTTTAAGCCTAGCAGTATGGCAAAACTGGCCAATCCCCTTGCTAGGGTTCCATACACCTTCTTTGCACGGGCCCACCTCCCCCAAAAGAGTTCCACGTACCTTATTTGCATTGTTAGCAAGCTGTCCAATCCCCTTGGTGGGCCACAAACACCTTATTTACATAGTCCTACCCAGTCATTGTGTGGCAGTTACAAGACCACGCATGGCTAAAAGAGCCATATTAAGTAATTCACTGCATCTTAAGAAGAAATAGTGAGAGATCATGTACTCTTGAAAGTAGAAGTTTTATTGGTGGGGATTTCCGAAGGAGATATTTGAGCTGAGCCTTGAAAGATGAGAATTTTTCCAAGGGGAAAGAGAGAGGAGGCAGCAGTTGAAACAAAGGCACAGAGGCATGGAATGTCCAGGAAGCACAAAGTTGTCCTGTGTGGCTGGAAAGCAGAGCATATGGGTAGTGTTGGGGGAGAAATAAGAGATAAGACCAGGGTGTACAGGACCTTTTGAGTCTAAACTAAGGAATTTGGACTTTATCCTGAGGGTAATGGTGACTAACAGTTACATAGTGTTCAGAAAGTATTCATTTGTCTGAGCAGTAGTGTGCCACTAAAGTCCCTGTGGAAGAAAGAGACATGATAAACAGGGCTCTTAGAGAGCTTCTGTAGCAATGTAGCTGTATTAAAAGTAAAGATCAGAGCAGCATAGTGGGAATAGAAAAGAGAAGTTAGGGCTAATTCAAGAAATACTTCAGAGTTAGAATCAAAGAGAACTTTGTATCCAGTTTGGTTTTGCTCTCTAAATGTAGTTGGCCAATTGCCTGCAGGGAAATTTGTGTAAGTTTTAAAGTATTTCCTTTGGGAAAACCCAAAGGAAAGTTATATAGCTGTCATTCTCCCATTACTATTTTTTCTGATTTTCTAACCTGTTTAATGGGCACATAGAGGGTAGATGATCTTGACAGTAGTGACTAATACAGCTTCTGAAGCATTGATCAGATAGATGTCTGTGTGGTTTCATTCCCAGTTTACTGAGGCAAGACCTTGATCGGTGATGTAACTACTCACAAGCACCACGTGGTGGCAATGGCGTTGCTGCGGAAATTGGTAGCAAAGCAGTCTCGGGGAAGCAGTGGAAACCCTTGTGAAACTAGGAATACATTTTCTGATTATCAAAACCTCCTGAAACTGCATTCAGTGTAGCAAGAGAAAGAAGACGGCTTTTTTTTTTTTTTTTTAGTAGAGGGCAAAGTCATTTTCAAGAATGAGAAGAAGAAATGAAGGATGAAGCAATCTGTGTTTCCCCCAGTTTTGCTGCAGTCATTGGTGTTCCTCATAAAAGTGAAGAAATGTACATTTAAAGCTCCTTACTTATCTAAATTATTTGCTAATCAAAAACCTTAGACTAAGCAGATTTTTTCTTGAAATGGCCCAATAACCTTCAGAAGCCACATAAGCAAGAAGAACCCGCTATCTTGAACTGAAAACAACAACTGTCCCTACAGGCTTTCTTAGGGCTCCTTCTGTTGGCTCTTTCCCTCTAGTAGGTCTTTCTCTGTAGTGCTCTCTAGTTACCCTGTCCTCATCTAGAATGTCAGCACCATGAAGGCTATATCACCAGCAGCAGGACAGTGCCTGGCACATAATAGATGGTCAATAAATAGTCATCAAATGAAAAAGCAGATAGATTAATGAAATAACTTTTTTTTTTTTTTTCCTGTTAGAAACTAAAGGTTCAAAGAACCCCAGAAAAGGAAAAGTCCTCACAATTCAGTTAGAGCCTCTAGGCAGTATTACTGATAGTATTTCTCTAAAATGCCTGAAGAAGAAGGCTTTTTCTGATATTTCATCAGCCTAAAAGCCAGCAATTTTTATATGAACTAACCTTAACTTCTTATGAGTCTCATAATACCAAGTTTTTGAAACACAGCCTATATAAAATGTTAACAGAATCATGTTTTTTTATGTAATTTATTTTTTTGTTTTTGTTGAGAATAGACACAGCAGAATATAAACTAATTCAACAGTTTCTACAAGTACAATTTAGTGACATTGATTACATTCTTCAAGTTGTACAACCATTCTCACCCTTCTTTTCTGAGTTGTTCTTTCCCCATTAACAAGCTCACTGCCCCCTATGGTTCCTGTCTGATTTTTCAAGTTGCTGTTGTCAATTTGATCCGATATACATAGATCTTAAAAGCACATAATGCTCAAGGCAGACATTTTTTACTAGTTCAGCTAAACTGTTGTTTGGTTTTAAGAAAACTTCAGCGGATATTTTTGGTTTAGGTTTAAAGATTGTCTCAGGGCAATAGTTTCGGGGGTTCATCCAACCTTCATGGCTGCAGGAAGTCTGGAGTCCATGAGAATTTGAAATTCTGTTCTGCATTTTACCCCTTCTGATGAGACTTCTTCTACAGAATCTTTGATCAAAATGTTCAGTAGTGGTAGCCAGGCCCTATCTAGTTCTTCTGGTCCTCATGACAAAGGAGGCAGTTGTTCATGGAGGCAATTAGCCACATATTCCCTTTCCTCCTACTATTCCTGACTGTCCTTCCTCTGTTGCTCCAAGCTAATAGAGACCAATTGTGTCCTCGATGGCCAACTTGCAAACTTTTAAGATCCCAGGCACTGTGCAACAAACTAGGAGGTAGAGCAGAAGCACTAAACATTATTAGGTCAGTGAACTGGGGTGTCCCATGAAACCACGACCCCAAACCTCCAAAGCAAGGAAAATTCCATGAGGTGTTTGGTTGTACATAAGCAGCCTCAGCAGCTAGTTTTTTTGTTGTTGTTGTTGTTATTGTTGTTGTTTTTTGTCTTGTTATAAATATATCTATCACACAACTTTTGCCAATTCAACTTTTTACAGGTTTACAACTTATTTATTGCAATTACATTAATCAGCTGTGCAGCCCTACCTTAATCGGTGTGATTTTTCTATCACCGGAAACTGAAACTCGGTATTCCATAAGCAATAATCTCTCTTTACCCTTCCCTCCCGCCCCTGGTAACCACTAATAAACGTTGGTCTCTATATTTTTGCCTGATCTTATCAGTTTATATAAGTGAGGTCATACAATGTATGTCCTTTTGTGATTGACTTATTTCATTCAGCATAATGTCTTCAAGCTACATCCATATTGTAGCATGGATCAAGGCTTCATTTTTCTTACTGACTGAGTAGTATTCCATTGTATATATACCGCATTTGGTTTGTCTGTTCATTTGTTGATGGGCATTTAGGTTGTTTCCACATTTTGGCTATTGTGAATAGTGCTGCAGTGAACATTGCTGTACAAGTATCTGTTTGAGTCTGTTTTCAAGTCTTTTGAGTATATACCTAGGAGTGGAATTGCTGGGTCATGTTAGTTAAAAACCAAAACCAAACTCATTGCCGTGGAGTCAATTCTGACTCATAGCGACCCTCTAGGAGAGAGTAGAACTGCCCCAGTGGGGTTTGCAAGGCCATAAATCTTTACGGAAGCAAAATGCCACATCTTTATCCCATGGAGTGGCTGGTGGGTTCAAACCACCAAGCTTTCGGTTAGCAGATGAGCACTTAACCACTGCACCACCAGGGCTCCTTCTATGATAGTTAGAATCATGCTATTTTAAAATATCAAGTGTTTAAGTACATTATTTTTTCACTCCCTAGCTCTAAAAGAAAATAACCAACTTCAAAAGGCCATCACAATAAAGCAGGTCTATTTTTTAGATTTTGAGGATTTTTTCACCCCTTTTAATATCATTCTGAAATAATTTCATGGGCATTAATTGCATGAATATGGTTGGATTAAAAGGTGTTCAGCCAGAACTCGTAATTCTATACTAGATGATTTCAATTCCCATCCTAAAATTAATTACTGTGACATATTTTCGCTTTCTGGCACTTTCTCAAAGAATATAACTTTCTTGATGTCATTTCTTGTGTTTGCAGCAGAGGGATACCATGCAAGATAACCTGATAAAGCTCCAGCAGGAAATGGCCGAACTGGAGGCTGTGTTAGAGCAGCACGGGAGCCAGCCTGCCAACAGCTCCCCTTCCCTCCTAGCAGGCTCTCGTGCCCCTGAGGACCTGCTAAATCTGGAACAGAACACATCAGGAAAAGGTAATTTGTAATATTGGCCAAGGTCTGTTATCTTAAACAAAATTCTTCCCCTCCCTAAGCCTTTATTACCTTTTGAAAAATAAGGACCTAGCTCCAACATTTTATGATCTTTGCTCAGCACATATTTACTCGGTGGGTAATTTTAGAACATTGATTCTAGTCCCTGCCCACAACTAGTTTACCATTCAGAGAAGACCCATGGTAGTCATTCTGTGTCATTGTCTGACTGAGCACCTGTAATGAGGAGATGCTGTGGGGAGCTCAGGAGACAGACACTATGGTCTTTGCTGTTAGGCAACTGGGTGTAATGGGGGAGATTGGGAATAGGTAACCCCATAATTTCAGAAAACTTATGGAAAAACACTTAGACATACACCTGATAACACTGATGTCAGATCAGAATAACTATGTGTTCAATGTGCTTTCCAAGTTATAGGCAGAGATATCCTATACTTCAGGAGCTGCAGTTTGATCCACAGAAAGTCCAACTGTGTGTCAGAGTCGGATGTTATTATAACAATGTTATAGTTACCAACAAGGCCAGATGGACCTCTGAGGCAGGGCGGGGGGGGTTGAAGTAACCAGGCAGGTAAGACTGATCAGAGTTGACTTCCTGTAGGAAGTGAGCACTGAACCAAGGAATAATGTGCTCCTGTATTAACAGAAAACACATTGGCAAAAACGAAGGAAAGTGAGATGAACATATGAATTTTTAATTGGGAAGAATCTTATAAAAGCACACCAGGCAGGTTTTTTATAGGAGCAAACAAGTAGAAAAGAGGCTAGACACAGGCATGGGGTCCACAGGAGGAGCTTGGTGCCTTAGAAGCAGGCGGGGGTGGTGAGCCCTCCCAAAGTGTTCTTTGCTGCTATCTCAGTGAGGCCTACCCAGCTGACTTAGTATTAAAGTTCCTTCTCTATCATTCCCTTCCCCAGTCTTACTGGGGGCTCTTGGGGCCTTCTTTTGAGTCTTTCTAAGAGCGCAAGTCTGTTGATTATTCAGAATAGTGGCCTTGGTCCCTGACTGTGTCTTGCATTATTTTTATGTTCAGGGAGAAACATACCTCATGCAGGAGAAGCTAGAATTCTGTGGCCATGGCGGTGGTTCAAAATGTATTTCCTTAAATGCTGTCTCTGTAGCTATATCTTCATTTAGTTCATCTCACAGATCATGAAGCCCAAAGTCCCACCCCCAGCACAGTTCGCTTCTTTGGGGTGCTTTCACTGTCTTCAGTCTAAAAGCAGACTAAACTTTTAAGTCTAATGTGCAAAATATAAAATGTTATTGTCTGACTTTGAATGTATGTGTAAATCTACCTGGTCTTTGGTGTGTGTGTGTGTTTATTTTTTTTCTGAAGAGCTGTAAATAAAATGTTTCTTTGTGGCTTCATTTCACAAATGTTTTGAGCATCAGCTTAATACTAACTCAGGTTTTGAGGCTTTTCCCCAGTTAAAGTTGGTGTGAGTGACTGAAATTCAACCAAACGTCTTAATCCTAGCAGAAAGTATCGTTTGCCCTCTGCTGTACTCATGACTTCTATTTTTTCAGTAAACTTTTTATGTTGGAATAATTTCAGGTTTACAGAAAAGTTGCAATGACTGTACAGGCAGTTCCCATACTGTCCCCTTACCTAGCTTCAGTCTCCTCTGATGTTATCATCTTTCATTACCATGGTAATGTTTGTCAAAACCAAAAATCCAACACTGGTACATTACTGTTAACGAAACTCTACACTTTATTTTGATTTTACTAGTTTTTATTTTTTAGGATCCAGTGTTCTTCAAGATAACAAAAACCCCTTTTCTAGGGTCTTTATATCAAATGCTTTGCCCTCAGCATAGATCTGTCCTACTGTTTGTCTAAGGGTCATTCCCAAGCTCGCATAGTATTTTGGTGCAGATGAGTATACTTACGCATTATAAATTGTGTATTTCCCTCTGCAGTTACAGCTATTTCATATCAGACACTTTGTGGTTTTGGGCTTTTTTCCTCTTCTGGATTTCCTGTCATTCATAAAGCAAATATTAGCATGGGTGAGATCATAGCCTGTTAACCATGGAAGTGATTTTTCGGACACATCTGAGCTTTTCTGTCCTACATTACCTGGAGGTGCTTATTAGAAATTCCTAGGCTCCTCCCCTGGGAATTCTGAATCATTTGGGGTGGGGTGGGGTGGGGTGGGTTATATACTTCTTAAACCTGAATTTTATTATGGGTTCTATATTTTATATTTCACCATTTCTTAATATTTCTTTCCTTCCTCCCCAGTTTTTTTTCCTTGATTTTTCCCGGTACTTAACACAGTGCTTAGCACTTGGTACCCAAAAACAAACCTACTGCCATCAGGTCAATTCCGACTTATAGAGACCCTATAGGATAGAGAACTGCCCCATAGGGTTTCCAAGGTTGTAAATCTTTATGGAAGCAGACTGCTACATCTTTCTCCCGAGGAGCAGCTAATAGGTTGGAACTGCCGACCTTTTGGTTAGCAGCCGACCACTTAGCCACTGTGCCACCAGGGATTCTTTAGCACATAGTTGTTGTTATTTTCGACCCTGTGTACAACAGAACAAAACACTGCCCCGTCCTGCGCCATCCTCACAATCATTATGCTTAAGTCCATTGTTGCAGCCACTGTGTCAATCCATCTCATTGAGGGTCTTCCTCTTTTTCACTGACCCTCTACTTTACCAAGCATGAGGTCCTTCTCCAGGGACTGGTCCCTCCTGATAACATGTCCAAAGTACATGAGATGAAGTCTCGCCATCCTTGCTTCTAAGGAGCGTTCTGGCTGTACTTCTTGCAATACAGATTTGTTTGTTCCTTTGGCAGTCCATGGTATATTCAGTATTCTTTGCCAACACCATAATTCAAAGATATCAAGTCTTCGATCTTCCTTATTCATTGCCCAGCTTTCGCATGCATATGAGGCAATTGAAAACACTTTGGCTTCGGTTAGGCTATCCTTAGTCCTTAAAGTGACATCTTTGCTTTTTAACACTTGAAAGAGGTCTTTTGCAACAGATTTGCTCAATGCAGTGTGTCCTTTGATTTCTTGACTGCTGCTTCCATGGGTGTTGGTTGTGGATCCAGGTAAAATGAAATCCTCGACAACTTCAATCTTTTCTCCATAGGCAGTTTAAATTTATTAAATGTTTGTTTTGGCCTATATTCTCTACCCAGGAAGAATATAACATGTTAAGATCCCAAAATGAAGGAAAGGATTAAGAGGGACTACAGTACTGTTCTGATATTGGGCCAGCTGTTCAGAGAATGAAATAAGGACTAGGAAAAAGAACAGAAAAGTTTTGTTCTATGTGTTTTAGGTGCTATTGAGTTATTGACTCCTGATTCAGGTTAGCTTTTTCACTTTGTAGCTTGAAGCCCACTGTAATGAAAAGAAGATTTCATATGCTAAATGTTCAGGTGAATAACTTTTTAATAGCTATGTTTGTATCTGAGGCTCGAACCCCTCTTTCAAAAAAAATTTTTTTTTTTTTAAAACCCCTTCCAATGGTTAATTCTACTTAGTGTGGCACCTTGGGAGGCTGCACATTACCCTTTGTCAATTATATTTTGGAGGAAGTGATTCCTGTATTTGATAGCCTTGAATACCCTGCTTAGTTTTAGCAGCTGGCACCTCCAAGCAAAGTTCCCCTTGTGTTCCTAGAAACTCACAGGTCCTGAAAAGACAAGCATTAAAGAAACTATAAATAATGAATTTGAGGCTACCTAGTGTCTTTAAGGAGACCCCGGTGGCGTAGTGGTCAAGAGCTACGGCTGCTAATCAAAAGGTCAGAAGTTCAAGTCCACCAGGTGCTCCTTGGAAACACTATGGGGCAGTTCTATTTTTTTTTTTTTTTTCCCATTGAACTATTTCACATGTTCAAGGACATGTCTTTTTTGTTTTGTTTTAATTGTATTAAGTGAAAGTTTACAATTTAAGTTAGTCTCTCATACAAAAATTTATACATACAGTGTTTTATGTGACCCTAGTTGCTCTCCCCGTACTGTGACAGCACGCTCCTCCTTTCCACCCGGATTTCCCATGTCCATTACAGCGCCTGACCCTCTCTGCCTTCTCACCTCACCTCCAGATAGGAGCTGCCCATTTTGTCTCATGTATCTACTTGAGCTAAGAAGCACACTCTTCACGAGTATCATTGTATGTCCCATAGTCCAGTCTAATCTTTGTCTGAAGAGTTGGCCTCGAGAATGATTTTGGTTTTGAGCTAACAGAGTCCAGGGGCCATGTCTTCTGGGGTCCCTCCAGTCTCAGTCAAACCATTAAGTCTGGTCTTTCTACTAGAATTTGAGTTCTGCACCCCACTTTTCTCCTGCTCCGTCAAGGACTCTTTGTTGTGTTCCCTGTCAAGGCGGTCATTGGTGGTAGCCGGGCACCATCTAGTTTTTCTGGTCTCAGTCTGATGACGTCTCTGGTTTATGTGGCCCTTTCTGTCTCTGGGGCAGTTCTGTTCTGTCCTATAGGGTTGGAATCGACTCAACAGAAATGGTTTCTTTGTTTTTTGTTTTTTGGGTTTTTTTTTAGTATCTTTAAAAAACAGTTTAATTAATACAGCCCTTTGTTTAAATTTTTCTGCCCCAATGTGTGGATTTTAGCTTTTCTAATAAAAGCTCTAAATGAATTACAGTCCTTATTATAGATTGAATTGTGTCCCCCAGAAATATGTGTTGCAAATCCTAGCCTCTATGCCTGTGGTTATAATTCCATTTGGGAATGGGTTGTCTTTGTTTTGTTAATGAGGCAGGATTAGTGTAGGGTGTATCTTGAGTCAATCTCTTTTGAGATATAAAAGAGATTAAACTAGCAAGCTAGGAAGCAGAGGTGAGGGAAGAGAGATGCCAGGCCATGTGGAGATTGCCCAGATACAGAAGCTCAGAAGAGACAAGGACCTTTTTCCAGAGCTGACAGAGAGAGAAAGCCTACCCCTAGAGCTGACACTCTGACTTTCAGACTTCTAGCCTCCTAAACTGAAAAAATAAATTTCTGTTTGTTAAAGCTACCCACTTGTGGTATTTCTGTTATAGCAACACTAGATAACTAAGAATTTGGTATTGAGAAGTAGGGGTACTGCTCTAACAAATACCTGTAATGTGGAAGTGGTTTTGAAATTGGGTAATGGATAGAGGCTAGAAGAGTTTTAAGGTGCGTGGATTGCCTTGAAGAGACATGGTAGAATTATGGATGTCAAACGTGATTCTGATGAGGACTCAGAAGGAAGTGATGAGAGCCACAGAGAAAGTCTCTGTTGTCTTTGAGAATACATATGGTGCCAGCAACAGAATGTTGCTAGAAATGTGGACATTAAATGTGCTTCTGGTGTAAATGTGCTTCTGGTGAGGCTTTAAAAGAAAATGATAAACATGGGATTGGACAATGGAGGAAGAGCGATGCTTTTTATGCAGTGGCAAAGAACTTGTCTGAATTATGTCCAATCTTTGGTGAAAGGTAGAACTTGTAAGTGATGAACTTAGATTATCTGGCTGAGGAGATTTCTAAGTAAGATCTTAAAGGGGCTGCATGGTTTCTCCTTGCTGCTTATAGTAAAACGCGAGAGGAAAGAGATGGACTTAAAAATGAACTGTGCAAAATGAAAACTGAACTCAAAGACTTAGAAAATTCTGTTAAACAAACTAAGGACATGTGTCCTAGAATGTTCACCAAGGACGTGGCTGCACAATGTTTTGTAAAAGAGATTAAGCCTGTGACTGATGGATCTAACCTACTACCACAGCGGAAAACCCATCAGCTTAGATTGAAGAGGACAGAGTAAGAACAAAAGGAAAGAATACTGTCTGCCTCTTGGAATTCTACAGGCAGGAAACAGGCCAAAGGAGATACATCTGTTGTCTTCCAAGAAAAGAAAAGAACCATCCCTGGAGTAGCTTGGAGATCAGAAGAAACGTTGGAAGCAGAGCTGCCTTGGATCTCAAAGTGTAGGGCCAGGGCTTCTGGGGTGTCAAAGGGTAGATCCACAGCTGCCTAGGTTTCAAAGAGTCAGATCTTCACCAAGTCGGTCTGGAGTGTGGGGCTGCTATGCCCAAGGGGCAGAAGAATGGGACTTGCCAGGGGTGAGGGAGTGAAGTCACCACTCAGATGGACAGGAGAATGGGGCCACCCAAAGCCAAGGGAGCAGAGTTGCCATCTCAGTGGGCCTGAAACGTGGAGCTGAAGCACACGGCTGAGGGGCCTCCATCCAGAATCCAGAGAGCATGGCCAACACCCAAGCCTGGATGACTGGGCCATTGCCTAGATGGTCTCAGAATAGAGGTTTATTTTCAAGTCTTGAGAGTTGATGTAAATTATTCTGCTAGGTTTTGGACTTTCTTGATTCCCATTATCCCTTTTTCCCCTCCAATTTCTCCCATTTGTAATGGAAATGTGTACCTTGTGCCTGTTCCACCATTGTGTTTTGGAAGTAGATAGCCTGTATTCTAGATTTCACAGGTTCTCAGATGAAGAGGAATATTGTTCCAGGATGGAATGAATAGGCCTAACGTCTCACCCATATTTGCTTTCGATGATTCAGAAGATGAGATTTTGGACTTGTAGTGAGTTGTAAGAATTTTGGGATGATATGATGGAGTGAATGTGTTTTATATGTGGCAAGGACATGAATTTTGGGGGGTCCAAAAGGTGGAATGTTATGGATTAAATTGTGTCCCCAAAAAATGTGTTATAAACCCTAATCTCTATTCCTGTGGTTATAATCCTATTTGAGAATGGGTTGTCTTTGTTTTGCTAATGAGGTAGGATTAGTGTAGGGTGTAGCTTGAGTCAGTCTCTTTTGAGATATAACAGAGATTAAACAAGCAAACTAGGAAGCAGAGATGCGGGAAGAGAGATGCCAAGCCACATGGAGATTGCCCAGGTGCAGAAGCTCAGAGGAGACAGGACCTTCCTCCAGAGCTGACAGAGAAAGAAAGCCTTCACCTAGAGCTGGCACTCTGAATTCAGACTTCTAGCCTCCTAAACTGTGAGAAAATAAATCTTTGTTGAATATACCATAGACTGCCAAAAGAACGAACAAATCTGTCTTGGAAGAAGTACAGCCAGAATTTTGCTTAGAAGTGAGGATGATGAGAGTTCATCTCACATATTTTGGACGTCTTATCAGGAGGGACCAGCCCCTGGAGAAGGACATCATTCTTGGTAAAGTGGAGGGTCAGCAAGAAAGAGGAAGACCCTCAGTGAGACGGATTGACACACTGGCTGCAACAGTGGGCTCAAGCATAACAGCGTTCGTGAGGATGGCACAGGACAGGGCATTGTTTTGTTCTGTCGTACACAGGGTCGCTATGAGTCGGAACCAACTCCACAGCACCTAACAACAACAACAGATAACTAAAACAATCGTCAACGGCTTTTTAATGGATAGAAGACATTTGTAGTTTTTAAGTATTTGTTTTTGCTTTTTAAATATTTCTGCCTTTAAGCCATGTCCTAGAAGGTACTGGCGCAATAACACACTTGGAGAAATTAATAAAAAGGATGTACTCGACATGCCAGAACTTCGCCTTAGGTCTGTTTTGTGTTTTTTTTCCCTTTTTGCGCCATTTCACCATTTGTTCTATATATTACTTCAAGGTTCCTTATCAATCAGCAACTCGTTTTTTGGGTTTTTTTTTTCAGTAATTGAAAATGTGAAGCAAAATGTCATCTCCTTTTCTTTCTCACCTGACTCCCCCCTCCTGTTTTCCTATACTTGCAAAATCTCAAACCCCGATCCTGTGTCTTTGATGTGGAGGCAATAGGGATGGGAAAGGGAATTTGCTCTGTGTTTTCCAGTACGTTTTCTTTCCATTATCTCAGGAGATTTGGGCATAATTTAGTTTGCTGCAGAGATAAAGTTTGTTCCCTATGCTTTTTCCCAAATTTTTTTTTTTTATTGTACTTCAGGTGAAGGCTTACAGAACAAATAGTTTCTCATGAAACAGTAGTACACATATC